CCCCGGCTTTCCGCCCTCGCGATCCTCGCGACCATCTTCCTTGCCCTCTCCGGCAATGCCCTCCTGATCAACAACCTCAAGACCCAGGAGTGGGAGAACGTTGTCCCCGCGGTCCCGCGCCAGCACGACACTCGTCTGGACAACCTCTTCGCCACCATCCCGTATGTTCCGCTGCCCCTTTTCTTGACCTGCCTCCCTCTGTCCGCCTCCTGAGCATGGCATTCCCCGCTCCCTCCCCCGCTCACCGCCATTCGATCCGCCTCCTGCCCTGCTCTCGTGTGACCCCCCCCCCGCCCCTGCGCGCAGCCTCGACGCCAAGACCGGCGTCCAGGACTTTGTGACCCGCCGCTTCGGCCGCCACGTCCAGTACCGCGTGGCCAACGACTACACCTCCAAGAATGGCGTCCGCCATGTGTACCTGCGCCAGACCATCAACGGCGTGCCCATCCTCAATGGCGATGTCAACATCAACATCGACGCCAATGGCAACGTCCTGAACATCGGCTCCACCTTCGTCCGCCGGCCGGAGCTGCTGGAGCGCGCCGAGGCGGCCCTGGCCCGTGGTGTCGACCGCCAGCGCCTGTCCCCGGCTCAGGCGGTCCTGCGCCTGGCCAACTACCTGCGCATTGACCTCGACGAGGAGGGCCTTGTGCCGATTGCCTATGCCTCGGCCGACTTCGACGCCGAGGATGAGGCCACCCGCCCGGTGGCCCTCTTCGCCGGCGATCGCCTGTCCCTGGACCGCATCGAGGTCCGCATGGCCTTCGTCCACACCGAGACCCGCGGCGTGGAGCTGGTGTACCATGTGAACATCCGCCAGGATGAGGACTGGCTGGATGTCGGTGTGTCGGCCACCACCGGCGAGGTGGTCTTCGCGGTCAACTGGTTCAGCCGGTCCGGCGACTACCGGGTCTACCCTCTCGGTGTCAATGACCCGTACGATGGCGACCGCGAGCTGGTGCACAAGCCCCACAACCTGTCCACCGGGTCGCCCCTCGGCTGGCACGCCATGGACTCGCGCACCTCCTTCACCGACACGCGCGGCAACAATGTCTACGCCCAGGAGAACCTCTCCGGCCGTCGTACCGGCTGGGAGAACAACTACCGCCCGGATGGCGGTGCCGACCTGACCTTCGACTTCCCGATCGACTTCACCAAGGAGCCGGTGGAGAACCTCGATGCCGCGGTGACCAACCTCTTCTACTGGAACAACATCATGCACGACGTCTTCTATGAGTATGGCTTCGACGAGGTGTCCGGCAACTTCCAGGAGAACAACTTCAGCAAGGGCGGCCTCGGCAATGACGCCGTCCAGGCCAATGCCCAGGATGGCGCTGGCTACAACAACGCCAACTTTGCCACCCCGCCGGACGGCCAGCGCCCGACCATGCGCATGTACGTCTGGAACCAGGAGACCCCCATGCTGGACGGTGACTATGACAATGGCATCATCATCCACGAGTATGCCCATGGGATTTCCAACCGCCTGTCCGGCGGTCCGGCCAACTCCAACTGCATGTCCTCGGCCCAGGCCGGTGGCCAGGGCGAGGGCATCGGCGATTGCATGTCCATCATCCTCCGCTGGCGCCAGGAGTACAACCGCGACACCGTCTTCGGCATGGGCGAGTACGCCGCCGGCCGTAACATCCGCCTGTACCCGTATGCCGATGACATGGAGATCAACCCCCAGACCTTCGAGTTCATCAATGGCCCGCAGTACACCGGTGTCCATGCCAAGGGCGGTGTCTGGTGCACCATGCTCATGGACACCTACCGCAACATGCTGGACCAGTCCCACTGGGATGAGGACCTGTACAAGGGTGACGGTGCCAACAACCAGTTCCTGCAGAACATGATTGACGGTCTCAAGATCCAGCCCTGCAACCCGACCTTCACCGAGGCTCGTGACGCCATCATCCTGGCGGACCAGGTGAACTACAACGGTGCCAACACCTGTGCCTACTGGCGCGGCTTCGCCCGCCGCGGTCTCGGCCAGAATGCCACCGCCCCCAACCTTGGCCGTGTCACCGAGGACTTCACCATCCCCCTGGAGTGCCTGTAAGCGGCACAGGTGGTTCTCCATGTGATTGTGTGTGTGTGAGTGTGTGGGCGCGTGTCCCTCTCTCCCCCTGCTCCACCCTCTGTCGTCGTCCATCCTCTGTCGTTGTGTTCTCCCTTCCCTCCTTTCTCCTCCAATATACGGAAAATTCACAACCTCCCTCCACCTTTCTTGCGTTTCCCCCCCTTTCCCGTGTGTAGAGATGTGTGGATGTGTAAATGTGTGCGTGTGTGCACACGCAAATGCGTCTATGTGTGGATGTGTGCATGCGTAAATGCGTCTATGTGTGCGTGTGTGCGTGTGTGTTTCTTGGGTGATGCCACGCCTGGTGCCATGCTTTTGCGTCCCGGGGCAGAGGCAACAGACGGTGGGCTGGTGCTTTTTGTGACTTTATTTCGGCAGGAAGCCAGGCCAATCAGTCGGCCTGTGAGATGAGAATGGTCGGCGGCGGGGGGGCGGCCGGCGACATCGGCGAGTCGATACCGGGCTCGGGTCCGGGCCCGGACCCGGGACTGGTGACGACACTCGGCCGGAAGAGAGTCAGGCCGCCCTCCAGTGCCAGGCCATCGATGCCACGGGGCCCGGCGGTGCTAGGCCCCCCGGACAGTGCCCGGAGAAGACTCTCCGAGCAGGGAAGCGCCCCGTCCTCCGTGCCATCGCCCCTCTCGGCGCCGGTGTCCATCCCGGCGGTCAGCTTGCGCCGTGCGGCTTCCGGCAATTCCAGCGCCAGGGCCCGCATACTGAGAGCCAGCCCGGCGACCGGGTCATCCTCGCGCCGAGGGCGCCAGCCCCTGGGGGCCCGGCCGGTGAGACGCCGTGGCGGTGGCGGAGACAGGGCAAAGGAGTGTGTCTCATCTTGACTCGGCGGCAGGAGAGTTTGCCCACCGGTGGTGGCGGTGACGGTTGCCGAGACCCGGGAGGCTGCGGAGGAGAAGGGGGAGGGGGAGGCATCGCCATGCAGGGTGTCGACCGTCGCGCGAACCTGGCTAATGGCGGTGTTCGGGGGTGTGGTCGAGGCATTTGCCCCGGCTGCAGCCGGCTCCTGATGGGCGACGAGTCAAGGGGGGAGGGCAAATACAGGCGGATGAAAGCAAGGAGAAAGGCCGAAGCAGAGAGAAGGAGAGTGGCAGAGAGAGGAAACGTGGCAGAGAGAGAGGAAGCGTGTCAGAGAGAGGAAACGTGGCAGAGAGAACGATCGGGGGGGAGCAGCGGGGGTCGTGTCAGCACCACAGGCAGGGGAGCATGCGTGTTGGGCTCGATCGGCGCACAATATCGAAGAAGGCCCGGATGGCCGTGGGCGCGGCATCCGGTGCCAGGCGGAAGACCGATGCCTCGGAGGTGGTGGTGGCGTCCTGACCCCGGCCCAGGAAAAAGGGATACCCCAGGCCGTCGAGAGCGCGCCGGCAATCGGCCGCTGCGCGGGGCGACGAAAAGCACACACGGGCCCGGCCGACCCGCGTGACATATGTGGCCGAAAGTACGTCGACGGGCAGGAGGCTGAAGGAAAGGGCAGCCGGAAGCCCGGCCGCGGATGGGTCCTCGGCCTCCTCCAGCAGACCCAGACATCGGTCAATGTCAGCCGTACGAGGGTCGAGGCTGACCGACTCGCCGGCCGGCGTCAGGCGCAAATGCAACAGAGCACAGAGTTCGGCATAGGTGGGGCTGGCAGAATGGTCAGAGAGGAGGAGAGAGGGCAGGGATGAAAGCTGGTGTGAGAGACTGGTGATGGTCGTGAGGGGGAGGGACAGGCAAGCCGGCAAGAAGGGGACATTGACGAGGCAGAGGCGGGAGCAGACATACAATTGCCCATAGAAGCGGATGGCCAAGGCGCAGGTGTCATCGTCGTGATCGTCCGACAGCCAGCCGGAGCACTCCTCCTCGGGAGGCGGCCCGTCAAACATGACGGGCGCGGTGGCCGGGCGGGGATCCATGCGGAGTAAGACGAAGAAAGGGCAAGTAGGGAAAGCTCGGGGGAGGCCCGGGGGGAGGCTCGGGGGAAGGCTCGGGGGAAGGCTCGGGGGAGGCTGGGGGAGGGCAGATGGACTGGCATTGAAAAAAAAAAAGAAGCCCACCACGGCGCCCTGTGAGATCAAGTTGAGGCGTGGATTCTCAACGGCTGTCCGGGGGGGGGG